GAAATGAACAGCTCGACTCGGAAGGTTGGACACTCAACGACGGGCGCTGACCTCAGTAGTTCAGGAGAAGAGGGATCCACCCATGGTGGTGGCTCCAGCAGCAGTCACGGAAATGTACACTCCACGAATGTTCAAAATTCAGTCGGCAGCACATCTCGAGGGAGCAGCCACTCCACCCACTCAACAACAGAAGAGATCGAGATACCAGTCGCATAATTATCACTTTATAAAATAAATATGAAAATGTTGTTTATCTTGTCGTGGCATTATTAGTCGGGAACGTTGTGCTGAATTCTCTGAAGATGATATTTGTTGTTTGAGATTTTCACAAATTCCTCTCGCCCTACCGCTTAAAATAAGATATTTGAGCAAGACTAGCAGCGTAAATGTTTTCGAACATTTCCTTACTGGTGGATGATTGCTTTACCTCTTTCAAATAGCTTTTCAGAGTATTTCGCTAACTACCAATTCGATTTAGAGGTGCATGCGCCAAGCATTTAAAGATTCAGGAATTTTGTCTATATTCAATCCTCTGTTGTTCGACTGCAAATTCAAAGGAAATCCAATAAGACTCGCAGAACCTGCAGAAGGTGTTCATTAAAGGAATTTGATAGTTCTATAAACAACTACCAAACTGAGATATTTTCCGTAACTTAGAGTAAAAGATAGAGCTGAGGGTATCTGCGCATAACTAAACATCTACTGTTTGGTAATATGGAAAGCACTTTCAATAACTTTCGATTTTTGGAATTTTTGTCTCTAAAGTTAATTACGAGGAACTGTGGATTGAGATAACCTAAAATGATAAGACTATTGCATTAACTTTGCGCTTATATTGAACCAATGTAGAGGTCTGAAGCTGTTAAATACAGTATGGTGTATATTTATTGCATAATTTTTGACAAGGTAAGGATCTTAAGTGAAGTGGTGATTTGAAGATGAAGAAGAAATATTGTTAGATGTATTTTGAAACGCTGATTCCAAATCTGTCTTCTGTATCTGCGAACCGTTTCCAACAAAGAAGTTATCAAGGATTTCTCTGTTGAAAGCACCTTTACTTT